TCTCTGGATTCCTAGATTCTAGAATTCTCAGATCCCTGGAGCAATTCAATTTCTTATTCTTATATGTTTAAATCGTTGAAATTTTGTTTCGAAATTCTGCAATCCTCGTATTTTCGTTTTGAGATTTCGCGACTGATTAAATTCTAGAACTGGTGCATCCATATTTCTCTCGCCCTTCTCTAATTTTACATATATCTAAAAACGCTAAAACACTCTTCTGCTTTGGATTCGCAAATCCAGGAATTCAGAAATGTAAGAGACCTTCCTATCATCCCATGTTAAATGTTGAGCTTAAAGTTCGCGGTAAGTAATAAGTGTAAACAGTAGTTCAGTTATCTTACAAAGCTAATCTCAAAGAACAAGATCGTGACTATGTAACGGTTCCGAACTGGTATCACTGAGCTTAGCGGACCGCGCGCTGCTAATGGGATGGACCCCCGTCGCGTGCGCTTATCAAAATAGAAGACCGTCGTTCTATTTTCTGTTCCTTCGGTCGTCGGTGAGACGCGTCGTCGCCTCTCCGTAAAAAATTACATCTCGTAAATAAAAATAACGTTTCTTTCACTTTTGTACGTTGATGGTAGTGCAAGGCCGTGGCACATGTTTTATCTTACAGCAGGGGTTCTCAAACCAATGGTCAAACATCTCTCGTAATGAAAGGGAGAGGAGGCAGGCGGCAGACATATAAACTTTGTTAAAATTCGTCGGTATTATTTACCGATTAATTCAGCATAATCGAAATGTTCAAGGCATAATCTGCTTGAAATATTATATATTTTTCTACAAAATAATAATTGCGTTAGATTATATTACCACAGAACTCATGTCCTCATTTTACTCTTTGTCCCCACAACTTTGCTTTAAGACGTAAGTAATGAGTAAATTGACAGCCGTTTATTAGGAGAATGATCGACAGTGGTTGGTCAATTTGCTTACAGCTTATGTCTTGAAGCAAAGTTGTGGACAAGGGCTTACTCATCGACAAAACGAATAAAAAAATTTCGACTTTATATTTTAAAATGAGCAATAAAAATGTAGTTTCTTTAATAAAGACTGAAGAAAATATAATTACGTTACATACACACAACTGTGTAAAAATCAAATAACTTTAATATAAATTATAGACAAGAAAGTTAACAGAAGACAAGCAATTGAAAGAATGGTTTTCACTTAGATACGGTATAATTGGATACGTTGCAAATAGATAATATTGGACATGTTATATTATGTACGATTCAATTGGACATCTTTCATTTAGACATTGCAATTTTGGACATAGCTATTGGATGTTACAAGTAGATAAACTAAAAATACGTACTGGTCATTTGAAGAAAATTAAAAATACTGTTCACTTGGACACTTGGACATTGTCCATACTGTTCACTTGGACACGTTAAACGTGCGTGCTATTAGTCTTAGTCTACAATAGATGCTTTAAGCCTTAAGAAATTGACCAATCACAATAGATTATTCTTCTATAATTCGATTGTGATTGGTCAATTTTTTAAGACTTAGGGCTTAAAACATCTATTGTAGATTAGGACTAAGCGGGGGGTTTTACAATGAGAATTTTAAGCATTTTGGGCCTTAAGAAATTGACTAAACAGTCGATTATTCCCCTCACATTCAACTATGATTGGTCAATTTTTTAAGGTTTCGAGTTTAAATTCTCATTGTAGATTCCGCTTTATTACTTGGATACGTTAAAGATGCGCGCTGTTACTTGGACACGTTAAGCATATACACTGTACGCGATTCTATTAATTATGCGATTCTAAATAGGTTTAGATCTATTCATTCAAAGTGAAGTCCACCTCACACCACTCGGTGCTTTCGGCGTCACGACTTATAAATGTATAATTTTAAATAAGTTTGCAACTATTCACTCAAAACGTGGTCCATGATAGACCATCTATCCCACACCACTCGATGCTTTCGATGTTACGAGGATTATAATTGTAAAATTCCATAGGAGTTTGCAACTTTTCGAGTAAAGCAACGTCTATTTCATGTTATCTGCTGCTTTCGTTGCGATGAAGTCTATAATTGTGTATTTCTATATACAGTGGCGGACATATACTTACGTACAGTTAGGAAAATTAATTTTTATTCATTGCGTACTTATACATGAAATAGTTAAACAAGAGTCCATTACGTTTTTTACAAGTTTATAGCATATATTATGAGATAGCAAAACAGTGTTTATCAATTTATTATAACTAAGAAGTTTCTTGTGTTTGTTTACTCAAGTGTCATATTTTCTGCGGACACATACTTACGTACATATAAAAACACGAATATTTTAACAAGTTTCTTTGACTTATTACTATAATATATTAATATTTGGTAGCTAGACCCTTGCTAATAAGAACTGCGGCACACTTTCGTGGCATAGATTCAATATGCCGGTTACACCGATTAACAGATATAGAATTCCAAGCTTCTGCTACCATAATGTACAGTTCCTCAATATTATTCGGGTCCCGCTGTTTTACATATTTGTCCACATCGATCCGTAACATTTCTATTGGATTCAGATCCGGAGTTTGTGCTGGCCATTTCATTATGTTGATATTACGGTCGTTTAAAGATGTTTTGACGACACGTGCAGTGTGTTTCGGGTCATTATCTACTTGATAGATCTATTCTTCCGGCATATATTCTTCAGCAAATGGAAGCAGTACATTTTCTACGATGTTCAAGTACGTAAATCTGTCCGTGATTCCTTTTATTCGATGAATAGGACCTGTACCATTAATAGTCATAGAACCCCATACGACTACTGACCCGTCACCCCCTTTTACAGTTGGTTTTATACAATTCTTGCGATATTCTTCACCTATGCGACGTCTTACATATTCTTTGCCATCAGATCCGAATCAATTAAACTTAGATTGGTCAGTAAAAATAATTCGAAACTATTGTTGTTACGTCCAATTTAAATGTTATTTTGCTAAAGCGATTCTAGCTCGGCGATTCTTTTCTGGTATGAATGGTTTCTTTCTAACAACGCGTCCATGTAATTGAAATTCATTCAATCTACGTCGGACAGTTCTAACACTTATATTTTTATCAAGATCTGATGATATTTCAACGTGAATATCAATTGCAGTTTTAAATCTATCTGATTCAGATAATCGATGAATCTTACGGTCAGTTCTCATGTCGGTTTTTCGTGGTCTTGCGAGGAACATTATCTGGCATACCATGTTTACACGTTTAATACGTTGTATAGCTTGATAACAAGCCATAACAGATATCCCAAGCTCTGTAGAAATCCTCTGATAAAACTTACCATTTTTGCGAAGCTGCTGTATTTGCCGACGTGGTTCTGGCTTTATATTCTTTCAATTGCTCATCACAGTATTGTTATAACACGTCTTTTTACCTACATTACTCGGTAAATACTGACAAGTATTGTTTACATTGTAGAAATTTTGACCTACAGTGGCTAACGAAAGTATTCGAACGGTTAGATTTCTTATCTTTAACACATAAAATATATATGTTAATCCTGAATATTTAAAACAATTTAGTGTTTATAGAAAGAAGGAAGTCCCAAGATTATGTTAGTAAAATTAGAAAATAATCCAATCGCATATATAGTGTTTACGACAGATTTTCTTGAAACACGCACCAGGCATGGGTAACAAAAGTATTCGAACGCTTGCAAGTTATTTGTGTTTTGGTTTGTATCTCAATGCTGAATGTAAACATTAGCATCAAATGTAAACAAAGAAACATTCAGTTGATCATAAGACATCGTTTGAGTAAGAATAACGTACAGTTGTGTAGTATAATAATGAATATGAATAGGAAAAAGTCAGAAATACAAAACTGTAAACGATAAATGATATTAAAACTACGTAGAGACGGAAAATCTTATAATGAGATTGCGAAAATTGTAAACAGAAGTAAATCTACAGTGCATTACATAATAAAGAAGTTTGAAAATCAAGGAACTGTTGCCAATGAAGCTCGTTCAGGTCGTCTAAAAACATTGACAAGCAGAGAAGAGAAAACTATAATTCGCGAAATAAAAAAAGATCCTGCAACTTCTGCTCCCAAATTGGCAAATATGGTTGAAGAAATGTTTGATCGAGTATACCATCGATAAACACTAATTTTCTAGTTCCATAAAGCTGCCATGCAGCTCCATACCATGATATTGCCAACTCCACGTTTGACTGTTCGTTTTAAATGCTTTGCTTGCAAGTCTGTATTTGGTTCTCGCCATACATAATTTCGCCCATCCGAACTGAAGACATTGAATTTTCGTTTGAGAATATGACTTTGCCCCAGAAGCAATTATTTTTAGTAATATAAGTTTTTGCGAATTGCAATCCTTTTCGTTGGTTTACTTTATAAATGTAAGGCTTCTTTCTTGATACTCTGCCGTAATAATTATTGTCCCACAGTAGCCGTCGGCACAATTGGGGATGAGCCTGCTTATCAAACATTTCTTCAACCATATTTGCCAATTTGGAAGCAGAAGTTGCAGGATCTTTTTTTATTTCGCGAATGATAATTTTCTTTTCTCTGCTTGTCAATGTTTTCGAACGACCTGAACGAGCTTCATTGGCAACAGTTCCTTGATTTTCAAACTTCTTTATTATATAATGCACTGTAGATTTACTTCTGTTTACAATTTTCGTATTCTCATTATAAGATTTTCCATCTCTACGTAGTTTTAATAGCATTTCTTGTTCATAGTTTTGTGTTTCTGACTTTTTCCTATTCATATTCATTATTACACTGCACAACTGTACGTTATTCTTACTCAAACGATGTCTTGTGATCAACTGAATGTTTCTTTGTTTACATTTGATGCTAATGTTTACATTCAGCATTGAGATACAAACCAAAACACAAATAACTTGAAAGCGTTCGAATACTTTTGTTACCCATGCCTGGTGCGTATTTCAAGAAAATCTGTTGTAAACACTATATATGCGATTGGATTATTTTCTAATTTTACTAACATAATCTTGAGACTTCCTTCTTTCTATAAACACTAAATTGTTTTAAATATTCAGGATTAACATATATATTTTATGTGTTAAAGATAAGAAATCTAACCGTTCGAATACCTTCATTAGTCCCTCTATCTATGTATTACTACAGTGTATGTAAATACGTGGCCGCAGAAAATATAACACTTGAGTAAACAAACACAAGAAACTTCTTAGTCATAGTAAATTGATAAACACTGTTTTACTATCTCATAATATATGCTATAAACTTGTAAAAAACGTAATAGACTTTTTCTTAATTATTTCATGTATAAGTACACAACAAATAAAATTTAGTTTTCCTAACTGTACGTAAGTATATGTCCGCCACTGTATATAGATTTATAACTTTTGCATGTCCTAGTGTATAGAACGCAGATTTTACGTGTACAAAGCGCGGGTGCACCAACCTTAATTTGGCTTTAAATTTAAAAGTTAAAGAATGCGGCCAAAATGTTCTCCAAATTCATTCAGTCAAATATATGGTTGAAATTGATAAATTAAAAATATCAATGAGCTAAAAACAAATATATAAGTTAGAAGTTGATCCGGTTTTTCGTTCCGGAAGTACAAGGTTTCAAAAGTTCCAAATGTACTAAATGGCTTTTGATTTATTAAAACGCTAGAGTTTTAAGACGTATAAGGACGCATTGAGAAGCTTATGCTCTCTAGTTTCCGGTGAAAAAAGAATCGACACAAAAATGTAAAAACCCACCGGAAATTCAAGTGTTCCAATTCCGGTTGAATTAGGACTCGAGAAATGTTACCAATGGATTCTACAACTAATAAAACATTAAATAAAATTAAAACTTAATCCATTTAGCTCAATTCAACAATTTAGAAAAATAAAATCAAAATATTGCTATTCATCGAAAAATGGAGACTCTTGGTTAGTTAGCCGTTTTGTAGCTATTTTTCAGCCAAAAATTATGATCAGAGCTATTTTAGAAAGCTAATTTAATCTAATAAAATTTTGAATTTTAAATTAATTCATTCAAATTATTTAAAAAGTTTAAAAAGTTTATCATACACAATTTGTTAACAAAGCGTTAACATCCCTCTTTCATAACGTTCTCATAGCGTTATCTCTCCTCTGTCTTTTATCATGTCGATTTTCCAATTTTGTTCATACATTCCTAAAATTACTTTTGACAAAATGTATGAACTGTATGCCCTTTGTAAGTAAAATGGTATTAATAACATTTTAATAAATCAAAAACCATTTAGAGTCAGGAATTGTTGGAACCCTGTATCTCCGGAACGAAAGACCGGATCAACTTCTTATAAATTTGTTTTCAGCTCATCGAGATCTTTTTTTATTTTATATCCATTTCAACCATCTATTTCACTGAATGGATTTGAGGACCATAGCCCTCATACACAGTTAGCCGCACTCTTTGTCATAACAAAGCAAAAGAGACACCTAAAGTGCTTTAATTCGTATTTATTAAAATTAGTGCAAATTAAAATACTTTAAGTATCGTTTTTGTTTTACTAAATTTAAAATTGTAAGTTTCGCTTTAAGTCAAAATAACATTGCAACAACCAAGCCCAATTGAACAGTGTGTACATCTTTGACGTACTCAAATGAACAGCGTGCACGTTTAACGTACCCGAGTTAACAGTGTACAGATTTTTAACGTGTATCAAAATGAACAGGACGCATTTTCAATGTATCTGCTTGTAACGTGTCGAAAAATTGTGTCCAAATGAAACACGTTCAATTGAATCGCACACAGTACAACGTGTTCAATTGAACCATGTTCAAATGACCCTCTCCCAGTTAAAACGCTTCGCTCTACATATTTTTCATTAATATATAGAGGCGTTTAAAATATATGTACAATTTTTAATTGAGCGAGAGACGTCGCTATGTGGATTATGTAAGTATTTTATCTATGGATCATTTGTTACATAGACGTTGAGAAGTTTGGGAACCCCTGTTACTACACAGATTATTATATCACGAGTCGTTAAATATATAAATAACTTCTGCAAGCTCTCTCTCTCTCTCTCTCTCTCTCTCTCTCTCTCTCTCTCTCTTCCCGTTTCTCTCTCCCCGAGCCGTCTATGGCCGAATTCCACGTTTCAACTGTAATCGTTTGATCATTACCGTCTGATGAATTTGGTCCATACATTTAGCTTGTCCACTCGCGTTCTCAAACCGAAGTTGTTCGAACGATTCGCGATGCCGCACGATGTCACACTTGCGCACCTAATTCCAACAACGCGACGCTCTCTTCACTCTTTTCATGATTCGAGATGATGGAATTATTCGATCGATCGTGGTCCGTCAATAGGCATCGTGTGTAACACCTCATCTAGCAACTGAAGCGCTCTATGCAAATGCACCTGCGAAATAAAATACAATTACTATATCACGCTTATGAAATACAATTGTACAATGTTGAAATTACAAGTAATTTTCACTAAAATGGTGTCAAAATAAAAATTTGAATATATAATAATTTCAAATATATAATAAAAATTGCAAAGTGTCCTGTAAATAAAGTACAAAATCCTCCTACCTCGATCCAGCATGGTGTTTCCTTGATGCTCTGTCGTGGGTAATCCGGACCCCAACCTTTTACAAAACTTAAACGCAGGATACAAAGTCTTCGTAAGTCATCAACTCCAATGCCCGCAGCTGCGCTGAGATCTTTAATGTAATTAGAATCAGTAATTGTTTATATCAGTTGTTTATATTAGATATCATATATTGAATACATGTACAAATTTAATTCTAATATTTAATAATCGGTTATATTGACGAGTATATTACTAAAATCTGATATACTTGTGTCTCCTAGATTCTCCTATCACAACTCTTACTTTTAGTGATAGGTGTCCCGTGCGTGAGATGGCCGGCTACGGCTGCAGCTTGAGCCGCCGCGGCGGCCTGAGCTGTAGCGGCTTGACCACGTATCTGCTTATGACACTGTCGCAGGTCGAACACCTTGATATACGCCGAGGGATAAATTTTATGAACTGCGTCACCGGGTGCTCGGCCTGCCTCTCTGTCCAGGTAGTAGGACTGCACGAAGACGCTATGCTCGCTTTGGCATCTCAGCCAGACGTCTCCCTCACCTCTCAGGTCCAACACGACACCTTTCCCTGAAACAATACAATGCGTGTCATGATTATCGATTCGCTATAAATTGAAGTCGTTCGTTTTGAAAGTAGCGATTACCGATGTGAAGACGCGCCCTTTCACTCTGCTCCGTTCTGTGCACATTGCTCAAGGCACCTAAGCAGAATCTGTTGCCGCCACTTGGATCCACATAACCATCTATGGTGACAGTGCGACAACCACTGCTGACTTTGAACGTCTCGCCGACTTGGATGTCCAGCTCGAAATATCCAACGGAACACCAGAATTCTGGCGCTGGTTGCGTAGACAGCAGTCCACCGACATTCTCGCTAACGTCGTTCCCGTGACCTCCCCCTATAATTAAATTGAATTTTCAGGAACAAAACAAACCGTCTAACAAAAGGAATCGTAAAGTAACATTTGTGTGTTCAAGCTTCCTCATTAGAGGGATGTATAAATGAACCACGTGGTGTCTTGTTGAACAAAACGCTCAGCTTAAAGTTAAAGATGTTAAAAATAAAACGTAACAGAGACCCGTTATTAATTAAAATACTGAAAATAGGTTTAAGTTTCTTTTGATAAGTGTTTCTTATTTAGGGTTGGACACAAGAAATGCTCTATCCACTAAACTTATGACCGATCTTTTATTTTGACAGATCGAATGTGAGAAATAATTTAAATATTGTCCGGAAAAAGTCGGCTTGTGGTATCAAATTTCAAGGTTCATATTCCGAACTTATTTTTATCGATAAAAGTGCTTCTAAAAATGGTTTAGAAGGCACCTGGACTGATAGGCTGAGAAGCCAAGAAGCCACATTTAAGGCACTTTTATCGATAAAAATAAATTCAAAATATGGACCCAAGAAATTATTATTTAGGATTAGTATGGTATCTAAAAAGTTTAACCTTCCATTTTTCCTTATTTCAATGATAAATTGAATTCTCGAGTGGAAATAATTAAAAATAGTCAGTATTGTGTCCAACATGGTTGATAAGACTGCTGCACAGTGGTCTAAGATAGATATTTCTTAGCCAAAACTCTTTTTTTTTTTCACCTCAAGTTGATATGAATGCAGATTTATGATGTCCTATAATCAAATAATTATAAATTGTTATTACTTTCTATTCTTTTATTACTCGATAAATATAATGCTATAAACATTGCTCATTCAAAGGTAATCTTTAGGCATACCTGTCAAAATTGTATTACATATTATATTAATTTTAATAGTAATTGTAGTTATATATATATATATATATATATATATATATATATATGTGTGTATATATT